AATACTGGACGAACCAGTAGAGCCAGTACATCTAATGCAACACCACGGTACCACTCCACTGACAGGTGACACCATACGTCAGTGGACCGATCCTGACCCAACGCTAACTTTTATAGTACGATTTACAAAATCCGGCTGGCTTACTACAGTTCCCGTCGATCTTAAACCTTACAGACAACGGAAAAATTAATTGAGCCTTCACGATGGATGCTTGTTTTGGGAATCCTGCCTGATTTTACCGCTCAAGGCAAGGCCGTTCATTGTAAAGGAACTCCACAATGCACATCCAGGCATAGCCCGAATGAAAGCCTTGGCGCGCGGTTATTGCTGGTGGTCTGGCCTAGATTCAGAAATAGAGAACTATATAAAAAAATATGGGGTTTGTGTCAGCAGTATCAGTCAAATAAACCTCCCGGTCCGGTACACCATTGGCGTTGGCCTGAAAAGCCATGGCAGGGCATCCATGCGGACTACTTTGGATCCATTAATGGTGTATTTTTCCTGATGTTAATGGACGCTCATTCGAGATGGATAGATGTTTATCCCGTTTGCTACCCTACTACGGAGACGACTATCTCAAAAATGCGGTCATCGTTTGTCATATTTGGGATACCAGAGACACTCTGAACAGACAATGGACCATGTTTCACTAGCAAAGAATTTAAGCCATTCGTGAATAGTAATGGTGCCCAGCACGTCCGTACAGCTCCATATCTCCCTGCTTCTAATGGGCTAGCGGAAAGCGCGGTGCAGACAATTAAAAGAGGTCTCTCGAAACAAGCACCAGGAATTGTTCAGACGAGGTTAGATCGCTTGATGTTTTGTTTACAGGATAACGCCAACGGAAGCCACTGGTAAATCACTTGCAGAGATGACGTTTGACCAAACACTCCGTACCAGACTGGATCTTCTGTTTCCAAAGCATAGAGCACAAATGGAGAGGAAACAAGACAAGGCTGCCGCATCGCAAGATGACCACAACTTTAGTTGGCAGCCGGGTGATTCCGTATGCACACGACTTCCCCATGAGCACTGCTGGCAACCCGCAACTGTAATTAAAGGTGACTGTACCCAAGCAGATCTCGAATTAAATGGTCGGATAGTACGGTGACACTCAGACCACATACGCGCACGTTGTGTTGAGACAACAGCAGATGAACGTCTGGGTGAATCAGCTTCCGTTCAGCCGGAAACGGAAGTAACACCCCAGGATTCTATACACTCGTCAGATGCACCATCGCTTCGTAGATCTCAGCGTACGCATACACCCGTTGACCGTTTCGTGACAGCAGTATAAAAATTTCAAGAGACGAGAGGAGGTCACGTACGTGAACGACTTCGATCCGTTTAGTTCAGCCGTGCGCGGATTGGTTACCACTCACACCAGCCAGCCAAACATCTAACACCCGCCCCCGGTCTCGCAATGCGAGTTTCCATGAGTCTTGCACCTTCCACAATTGATTGATAAACCTCCTGCTTTTCAGACGTCTTCTGTTTGCTGGGATTACGTGTCTCGGAAGCATGCGTTACGCGCATAGTGGTACTACGTTTTAGTGAGGAACTCGATTCACATCCGGCACGACAAGTGTGTAGCATTTGCCTCAGCATGGGGATGTCACCGAGGTGTAGACTACGGTAGGTCATAATGAAGTCGACTTGCACCCGACGATAGGACAAGGTCTAGAGTCCTAGATTCTCGCACCGGTCTTCATATCCCAAGCCACGTAAACTCGGGAGGAGCCTGGTAGCAACGTTTGGGACCCGTTCGATCTTTTGTGCATCGCCTCGGGTAATCGGAAAGTAGACGGTCGAACCCTACTCTAGCATTAGTCAAATGATGAAAAAGAAGAAGCGAGTGGCAACCTCTTCAGACCATGTGCTGAAGTTACGTCTGAGCGCCCAAAGCATGCGCAGTCCGTTACGACATAGCCCGTTCGTGTTTTCCACGGACTTCAAATCGTAGCGTGAAAGTACACCTAGGTCCTTCATTGAGGATATGGGAGATAGTGGTTAGCCGTCAAGGGTGTAGGTTCGGCCGTCAGCACCCTACCCCAAGCGCAAAAATACAGACATGGCTGGGTTGACCGTGAGATGAACTTCTGGAGACCATGTGGGTAGGCGGTTGAAATCTTGCTGAAGTACGCCACAGTCGTCAGGGGTGTCAATTTCTCCCGCAATCCTCATGTCGTCCGCAAACAAGGCACAGCGCGACTGGAGAAGCTGAGGTAGATCGTTGATGTGGATCAGGAACAGAGTGGGCCCCAGCACAGTGCCTTGAGGCACGCCACTTGTAGAGGGGTACCAGTCAGTTAGATGGTCGTCGACCTTTACCCTCAACTTCCGTCCAAAAAGGAAGTCGCGGATCCACCGGTGCAGTGAGCCACCGACGCCGCAAAGCTTGAGTTTGTGAAGGCGAACCTCATGGCTGACTTTGTCGGACACTTTACTGAAAGCGATGAATATCCCGTCGACAGACTTCCCCTTGCTTATTGCGTTCAACCACTCATACCTCATCATAAGCAAGTTTCTCATGCATAAAGCAGTGTTGTGAGGGCGTCAGAACCTCTTTTGACTATAGAAACTGCAATAATCCTTTTTTACGATTTTCACAGGAACGTTTGCCAAAATATATGTCAGACAAATTGACCCGTACTTGTCTACTTTGCTAGGGTCGCCGCCTTTCGGAATAGACTTCACCACCGAACATTTCCAGCCAATCGGCAAGGAGCCTTCGGACAGCGACCTGTTGAAAATGTCAGTCACAACGGGAGAGATGATGACCGAAAGTAACTTGGGGATCAGTGGGTGAAGCCCATCAGGTTCGGCAGGTTTGGTGCCCGTCAAGGTTGCCGAGTAGTTAACATACTTCTCCAACTCCGCAATCCATACTGTCGTTCGGTAGAAGCGGTACATATCGAACTCGGAATAGATACCTGGTCATTTGCAAATACAGAAGCAAACTGCACCGCCAACGCGGACGCACGCTCAGTGCTGGATGTTAGGGGCTGTCCGTTTGGGCAATCCAGCATTGGCGCATCACCTGCCGGCTTCAGGTATCGCTTCAGGGAAGCAAAGATTCTTTTTGGGTCGGTCTTCGCGGCGATTGCGGGCTGCTCTACGAAATGTCGGTGCTTATTGCTTTTTGCACTGTCGCGGAGATTCCTCTGACTTTTATACCCTCCATAGTCATTGGCAGAGCTAGAGAGGGGGAATCTCTCCCACAGTCTGCTCCGCCTCCGAGCAAGATTTCCATGCTCCTTGTCAAATCAATGAGGTTTAATCGGCCCAACCTTCCGACATTTCAAGGGCACATTTTGGGAACACGATTATGCCAACCTCACTTTTATAAAAGTCCAACAGTGTTCCACAGATGTAGCTTGTGACAGAGACCAATCCAGTTGGCTCGCGGTTTGAGCTAGACCGTCGTAGTCCGTTTTCCAATAGTTGTAAGCTGGTTTCAGCGGATGTGAATACGGGAAGGGTAATTCCATATCAGCTATGAGCACTGAGTGGTCGCTTGTAGCCAGGGGCTCCAGGTTCCGAACGATACGCACTCGTTGTTCGTAGCTCGTTAACATCAGGTCCAGATAGGACGGAGTAGAGCGTAGTGTTATGCGTGTTGGCTGGCATATGTGTTGTCATGCACCAATTTCAAGTACCAAATCCACGAACTTTGCTTCAACCTCACAATGTCTAGGCATCAAATGCACCTCAGCCCATCGTATTCGAGGACAGTTAAAATCGCCCATAAGTACAAAGTGTGGCCGACTCATGTGGGTTCGAAGGTAGGGCAGTTAATCCAAACAGAGACTCAGCGGGCTGTGATAGACTGCGCTCACAAGTAGTTCTCCGCGCCTGAGATGGATGGAGCACCGCAGTAGCTCACACATACCATCGTCACTTCGGTAGGTGCTCACAGGTCTCCCACGCAGGAAAGACTGGATGCAGAGCAAGACACCAGTGCGGGCGTTCGTTGGTCTATCGCATCGAAAGCACCGGTAAGCTTTGAGTTTAAGTTCCTGGGTGTATAACCCTGAAAGCAGCCTTGTCTCTGCGAGTCGCACTACGTCTGGCCGCTCAGACGCAACGAAACAACAAACCTTGTCGCGCTTGTTCATAACACTGCAAACGTTTGTGAAGGCTATTTGCAGGCCGCAGCAGGAGCAGCCGAGCGTGCTTGAAGTGTGAGCACCTTGTTTATCCTAATTCGCAGATTCTTGGAATCCATCCAAATATTTACGATACGGGGATTTGTTTTCCCCTCACCAGTACGTCTTTTCAGTTCAATGATGGCAGACTTGAACCGTTCCCGGTCTACTGGGTCCAGGTCTGGGAGAACATGGATCTTCAAACCTTTCAGCCTACAAAGGCGGGACAAGATCAGTCTTGGACTGGCTTCCTCCACAAAACTGATTATCATAGGCCGATTTTGTTGATCACTTTGCTTTCCTAGATGGGCAATGTGCCTCGCTTTTACCCAGTCCTCACCAGTATGGAGGAGTCTGTCAAGTAGACTCTGTGCAAACTCGACATCTTGATCTTAGCGCACTTGGGGTGATGGATCACTGGGCCAGTAAACTTGACAGTTTGGAACATGCAAAACTTATTTTGGTTAAAGTACATTCCGGCAGCTTACACGTCGTCCGAAACGGACAGCAAGCTACCAAGATCTCCATCAACAATCTTGTTAACTTGAACTAGATATGTAACGCCGTACATATCATTCAATCTGGACGAAATTTGCAACAACCAGCACCTGTCGAAACAAATGTAAATGTACATTTCTTCATGGTCCTACAGAATGCACTTACACTTGGTAGGAGTAAGGTGTTGTTAGGCTTCAGTTCACAAGTTTCTAGGTGATTGCAGTTAACCATCTGCTTTGTCCTCTAGCTTACATGCACATGTATTTGTCCTATTTATTATTGTCACCGGGTAGAATGCAACGACCGAAATTGACTCCCATTTATTAGTGCAACTGCTGAAAGGATTTAGACATTATGAAAGGATCAATGCGTGAGATTATCAGAGGTGAGTGAAGTTGGACTTCATTCCACACTTTCCATTTCCGAACGGAAAACTACAAATGCTGCATCAAATGCATACAGAGAGCCGCATATGCTAAACACGATTCGCGTTTCTCGCTTCCAGGAAACTTGCGCAGTCTTAAACCAGACCCTACTGCGACTCACTTCTCTTGCGCAGAAACACACAGGGAGTGCTTTTTCTTTGTGCACAGTTGTAATCTTAGCGAAAGTGCCCCTTGTATTAGGGTCTGACACCTGATTTTGTAAATGGCATAGAACTAACCTGCACTAATGGCTACAGCTCATTTGGATGCAAAATGTGTCCACCGTTTACATGATTTCCCGATAAGTACATAGAACGGAAATATGAAGGCTATGGGACATTTTGATGTTACAGTAGACCGTACGGGATAATATATTTTTCGCCTCCACAAATAACCTATTTTATGTGGTTGCTGAAGAAATTCTTCAATCTAATTTAATGCTGCTAATGAAGTTGGTATTTGTGTTTCCTCTTACAGACCGTCACGCAGACTTGACGATGATATAATTTTCGATTTGAATCACGAGTGAGTTGAAGTCCAATAAAATCCTCTTAACTGTTTTACGTCCTTGCGGTCCGTTGGCTCCATGTCAATTTAATAAACTGTTGATATTGCTACTACACTGCTACTCCTTGCGGTTTACATGCAGTATGTAGAACTTGTAGATACTAGTCCGAGAAGATGCGCGCAATTAAGCGCGGATATCAGAAGGCAATTGAAGTCGCACACAGCTGACTATATTCGATGGACCACAAAAGACGTAGACGGATGAAGCGAGACAGGAGCAAACGTTAGCGCGACAAATTACGGGGCAGAACAGTGTGCGGCCGCGTGTAAGGAAGCTTAAGAAGAAAAGATTAATGTACAATTGGTCAGCAATATAATTGTATATAGAAGATGGTGATTATCGATAAGCACTACAGGGCTCCCCAGCTAGGAGGCTGAACATAGGAAGCCTTCGATGTCAGACATGATGGGCGAATCAAAGTACGTAGGGCAAATTGTGCCGAGTAGGAATAAATAAATAATAAACAAATAAACGGTGTATTTCTCGACACTGCGAGACACAGACTGATTACGTTTTCTGATCCTATTGTACAACGTAATCACCTAGTGAAGAAACTTGTCTGTGCAACAATGTTTCATCCGAAGAGTTGGGTTTTCTAACAATTAAAAGTAGTGCGATAAAGAGCTGATAGTAAGAATAATTGTAATAATCGTCATCAGTTCAAGTAAAGTAATAAGGCTATCCATGGAACCGTCCCTGGGGACCTGCTTCCATGCGGGGTATTTCCTCGAGAGGTTTCATCCGCACTTCCACGTATCATCTGACCATGTGCTGTTGGGTTTTAAACCAGATAAACCTCACTATTTTGAATCGTTTAATTTATTTTTTGGCTGCAAATATATGCACAAAGCTCTCGTCACATTAGCACTTGTTTTATCGGACACTATAACAAGAAAATAGGCCATCAATAAGTTGACCTTTTTTGCCTCTGCTGTGTGCAATTTCGCTGTCCTCACGTTTACTCAATATTTTTTTCTACAGCCGGATATTTCGAGGCAATCTGGACACAGAGCCCATTCTTTCATGCAGCATATTTCGAGTCCAGCACTTTTAAAATGTGCCAGTGATTATCTGGCAATTCGCCTTGCTTAGGTGTACTAAATGGGTAAGAGGCTTCAGTCCGTCACCTCAGGAGGTCAGTCCAAGAGAGACCAACAATGATAAAGAAGAAAGGCAAACTGGAAAATAACTAGAGTTGGTAAGAAAAAATGGTAAGGATAAAGGAGCGACAGATGGTTTGTTCAATTTATATGATGTACATATGGATCATAGAAAACAAATAAACATCCGAAATATCCATTTAAAGGCGAGTTCACAGAGGAATTATGAGGTGCCTCCGACAGGTGTAGATGCTCGAAAAGGAGAGATGGGCTGCGCAAGTTCATTCTACATTGGTATGATGGGTGCTGCGGATACCCAGTTTGTTTCCTCCAATGAAGAATAGAGGAGAGTTAGTAGGGTATGATACGTGAGAAGCGTTGGGATAATAAAACTTCAAGGCCAATCTCCATCTAGACTATCGTCATAAGAGTGCGTTTGCACTAAATGAGTGTTTGTCAGAAATTGTAGCTCGCTGTGCCCTTTGTTATTTATTATTTATTGATTACATGGCAGGGTGCACTTCGGCGAGCCGTTGAAGCGGGCGTGTCGGACTTCGAAAAACTGGCTGGCCCAGAAAAATAGCTGACAGAACCTCAACCTCCGCTGCCGCCAAACCGTGCGTTTGGGAGTGGCCTCTTCCTCCGCCACACCCTGCCCAGCGACATAACCACGCGCGCCCCATTTAGAAACGACCCGCATTCGCGTCCGGCTCCTCGTTGACTGCGACGAACCTCGAAACTGTTGCTCATGAGGGCCAGTCGATTGAAGGGGAGGGTCAGGGTATGTAGTGACGAGAAAGCAAAAAAACGTAAGTAGATCACGCCAAAAAGAACGAACGGATGATCTGTATGCAAAAGTGCTTAAATTTTTTAGTTCACGGATATTTCTAAGATCTTTCAAAAATTTTTGATTTTTTGTGTTTTCAAAATACTAATCGACGAAAAACGGGGTAAGTATCCACAATATTTACAAATAAACGTATTTACTCTGTATATAGTCGGGAAAACGAACTGGCTTACGAACCTCCCGACCACGGCGGTTGCTCGTGGGAGGTGACAGGTTAGGTTCGGAAGATGTCCGGACGGCTGATGCTTGCATACCGGGATTGTGGTCTGGTTCAACGGTATTAGAATGTTGCAAATCGGTGTGGTTAGTTGTAACGTTGCACAAAGCATTTTTAGACGGTGGAAGCGATGTAGTTTCCTCCATAAAGGCTGGTTTTGGACGGTTGATGGTGACGACGGTCACGGCAGTCGATCGTAAATGTATTACTTGTTCGGTTGATTACATTGAAGGGTTCGATGTACAGCCACTGCAGTGACTGTCGAACGCCGTCTGAGCGAAGCAGTACTTGTGGGCAAGCAGACAGTTTTCCGGGCACTACACCGCTCTCCTGCAACCGTGAAGCAGGTGAGCGCAGCTCACGCATCTGACGAGCCAACCGATCGGTGTAACCTCCTTAGTCAAAAGAGGAAGTGGACGGTGTTGGTGCTACCAGCTGTCAGGGCAACCAAAGCTTGCAACCGTAGACTAGCTACGCTGGTGTTTGCCGAAATGAGTTTATCTGTATGCCTAAGGCCAGGGACGACAATGGGAAGAGTTTCGCACCATGAAGGGTCTGTGTGCTCTCGGAGCGGTGTCTTCAGTTGGTGATGAAATCGTCCTACCATGCCGTTAGCCACCGGATGATACGCCGTCGTCCAGATGTGGCGACAGCCCGAATTCTTAAGCGATGTGGTAAAAATAAAAAAGAAATATAACCCTCAATCGGTGGTCACGATGGCCGTACTAAGCTACCCAGCGCTCTAAAAATGCCTTTGCTATTGTTTCTGAAGAGCAGTTCGGAATTGGAATAGCCTCTGGCCACTTGATGAAACGGTCGATGGAACATAGTAGGTATACCGTGCCTTTCAAAAATGACAGAGGACTGGTGAGGTCGATGTATACGTGGTGGAAATGTGTGTCTGGCGTCGGAAATGTGACTAATGGGCTTTTCGTGTGTCTGTGCACCTTCTCGCGTTGATAGGAAGGCAAGCAGCTGCCCAAGTACCAACGTCACGACTGACGTTACGCCAAAAGAATCGTGAAATTATGAGTTTAACAAATGCACGAACGCCTGGTTGAAACAAGCCGTACGACGTGTCAAACTCGGTCTGTCGAAAGTCGCGTGAGACGACTGAGCGCGGCATGCCTAGTGACATATCACAAAGTATAATTCCGTCTGATGGTGCCAACGGAATGGGTCGTAAGTCCATTGCGTAGTAGATCAACCTCAGAATCATTGAGTTGCGCTGCGGCTATGACTGCCAGATCGATAGCAATGCCGACGTCAGCGGAAATCTTTTCAATTCGAGATATTGCATCTGCGACGGCGTTGTGCACACCTGAGACATGTCGTATAACGGTCATAAACTGAGCCATATAGTCTAGATGCTGCGACTCTCTAGGAGAGTATCGGTCGGTTGTCGAGCCGAGCACGTAGGTCAGTGGTTCGTGGTCGGTGAAGACGGTGTAATTGAGTCCTTCTAAGACATGTCGCAAATGGCGTATGCCTTAGTAGATCACTAATAATTCTCTACCGAAAGGACTGTAACGAGTTTCGGCAGGTTGCAAACGTTTGGAGAAGAACGCCAGTGGTTGCCAGTTGTCATCTACTTGTTGCTGCAAAACGGCACGGACTGCCACGTCTGAGGCGTCAGTACTGAGGGACTGTGGGGCTGCCTGGTCGTGATGCGCTATAGAAGCTATGTTGGCGATAGCCTCCTTGTGCGCCTTAAACGAAGCGCGTGCGACGGCAGGAAATTTGACTTTCTTGATTTTCTCTCGGAGAAGGTCCATGAAGGGTTGCATCAGCGACGCGCAATTTGGTACGACCCGTCGGTAAAACTTAACCAGCCCATAAAAATGCCCAGGCTGTTTAAAAGAATAAGGCTCGGCGGAGCCGATGGTAGCTTGGATTTGATCCTGCAGTGGCACGGCACCTGCAAAGAAGATACAATGTCCCAGGAAATTTACTGAGTCGACACCAAACCAACACTTTTCGGCGTCGATCGTCAACCAGTGTTTAGAACAAAATGTGTTCGAACATGGCGCAATTGCTCTTCTCGGGAAGAGCACGCGATTAAGGTGTCTTCGAGATAGGCTTAAGCGAAGTCTAAGCCGCGACAAACTTGGTCGACGCAACGCTGAAAACTCTGCGCATAATTCTTTAGACCAAACAGCATACACAGACACTCGAACAGAACAACTGGAGTCGTCACGGCAGTTTTAGCTATGTCCGCTTCGGCTACCGGAATGTGGATGTAAACGCGCACCAAGTCGGTTTTTACTGGAAACGTTTTTACTCGCCAAACTAACGATGAGACCCACAACATGCGGCATAGGATAGCGATCAGTCGTGATAACCGTATTCAAGGTTCGATAGTCGCCGCAAGGAAGCCAGTCCCCCATGGTCCTCTTCGGTATCATGTGGTGAAGTGACGCCCATGGTCTCTTGGACGGTCTGATGACACCGAGCTGAAGTATGTTATCAAATTCAGCTCTTGCGGCACGTAACATGTCGGAGGTAAATCAGCTTGCTTGGGCAGTTGTTGGCGGGCCGATCTTGAGTATATGACAATCGACTTCTGTCGTGACTGACGAAAACTCTGCAGCTGGTCGTACCAGTCGCGGGTATTCAGATAGTAGGTTCGCAGAATCTGAAGGTAAATCCGTGATTCGAAAAATGGGACTGATTATCGGGGAGTACGAAGGAACGTCTTTAACCCTTAGTTTAGTACGGTCGTCTAAAAGTCTGTGGCGAGTAGCATCAACAAGTGAACCAAAATTTCGGAGGAAGTTGATACCGATAATTGCA